GGAGGATGCTTATTCTTTACTATTACACCAAAGTTACAAATCAAAACATAAATAGCAAGTGTTACTGTAAGGGTGGAAGGGGAAAACCTGAGTAAATTCAGCTCTCAACACGTGCACAGTCCTTCAAGACAAACAACAGTGACTCTCACAACAGCATTTGTCTCTCTGGTTTCTGTAGATACATAGGGTACGACCTTGTCTAAATCCCATTCACAAGTCAGAACAGATCTCTATAAGCCTCAGCTGCTCTTTCTGTTCTCGACATATCAGCCCCAAAATGCCTCCCTTTTCACTCAGATTCTCCTCCCACCACAACCATCACTTGTGCTGCTGATTTACATGAGAAAGAGAAGGGGCCTCACCAGCACGTAGAAACTCCACAGCAAAATCAAATGACCACACCAAAAACCTCCTCAGAAGAGTAAACTTGGATCCAAGTGAAAAATTAATCATATGTAACTTAGTTTTGAAACAAAATAGAGGTTAAACTTCTGCTCCCTCTACCCTTGCAGAAGTCAGGAGCCAGGCTCGAGGGGATTTGTGGCACTAAGTGACCCCAAAGCTTGGCCTCTTTGTCAATGTGGTGGCTGGGATGTCCCTGAGCAGCCCTTTGGATTTTTATTTGCTCTTTACAAAATCAGAGGGTCATTAAAGGACCAACTTGAGTTAGGACTTCACTTGTACCAAAGCAAAGCTGCAACAAGCCTGCACAGTTCAGGGAAGTTACTCTAGCCTTATGTGAGTGTGTTTGATCTCCTTCCCCATCCCTGGAAGTGTTCAAGGCCAGGCTGGATACGACCCTGAGCAACCTGGTCTAGAGGAAGGTGTCCCTGCCCATGGCAGAGGGCTGGAACCAGATGATCTTTAAGGTCCCTTCCAACCCAAACCATTCTGGCATTCAATGATTCTATGACAATTCTCCTGCCACTAGCAATTCTCTCTCTCTTTTTCTTTTAACTGGGCAGTTTATTTAGGTTACAGGTTAAATTTGGCTCCTCAGACAGAGTCATTTAGCCCAGATGAAGCTACTGCTGATGTATGTTTGAGCCCAAAGAAAGAACTGCCTCTGAACTGTTGAGTTATTACATCAGTGAGGCCAGACAGGGACAAAGTATTCACTACTAAACCAAGCAAAACTCACTGTCAGTCCAAAGTTAGGAGTGCATCTGTCAGAAGGGTTCTTCTCCCACAAAAACCAGCATAACTTCACAAAACAATGAGTCAGCCAAAGCCCTACAGCCATTCTGCTGTGAGAACACACCCTCTTTCACCCTCAATCCCCGCATCCCTGAGATGAGCTACTCTAAATCCACACTCTCAGCAAATGTATGCATTTACAGTGGTGTGACAACCCTTCTGCTTATTGGGATGGACTGGGTTTATTTGCTTTTCCAGAAAACATGTGGTGCATTGCCATATGAGGCAGGAACTGCACTTCCTGGCCTGGGTGGGTGGCTGCTCTGCATTGAAATATCCCAGTGTCGGGAGAGAAGAGGAATCTGTGTTTGACTTAAAGCTGTTGTTTGGGGTTTAAGTTGTCTGCTATACTGTTCCTGGATCTTTCTAATGCCTCCACTTCAAGAATCATAGAATTGTCTGGGTTGGAAGGGACCTTACAGTCTAGTTCCATGGGCAGGGACACCTTCCATTAGACCAGGTTGCTCATGGACACCACACTGAGCCCCTTGTTGCTTCATCAGCTGTAACTTCACCACCAGAGCCCTTCAGTACAATGTGATAGATCTAATCACAGCTGAATCTATACCTTAACCATTCACCTTTCTGCAGTAGGGAGGCCTGTCCCCAGTCCCCTACACACCCTGTCACCATATACCTGTCTGTCTTCTATCCACATCATTGCAACCAGTGCCTTCTCAGGCTTTTCTGTGTCCTCAGTCTTCTTCCTGCCCTAGATTGCCATCCTGATGAGGTCTAACCCACCTTCTCAGCTCAGTGAACCACTTCTACAAGCACACTCACATCTTCTCCCATGTTACTACCAGCATCTGGAATAACCTTTTCAGACGAGTTTCTAACATCATTTTCCTTCCTGCCTAAATGATAAAACCTTGCACGTGCAGCAGGTGTTGAGCCAGTGCTTTTTGTTGCCATAGAAAACTCTGTTCAACATATCTGATAAAGAATCACTTTTTCAACTAAAAAATATGCACATTTTCTGAAGAAAAGGGATGGGTTTTGCTCGAGGGTCTGAACTGTTTTGATACAACTGACCTACCATAATGACTCATGGAAACTATAGATAAGGTTCCCTCATACCCTCATTTTTTCTGTCAACCAGATTTATCCACATTTAGACACTGGGGATAGATACAACACCTTTTTGCACCACATGAATAAGTCACGTTGCATCTTGGAAGCACCAGGAAACAACTGAGTGCAAATGCACGTATCATCTTTAACTAAATTCCTACGACACACAATAACAGCACACAGAATGGAAACATCTTTGTTATAGACCAAAATATTTCCATGAAAAAACTTGAAAAGCTCTGAACTCTGAAAAACTCTGAACATCTTCTGTGTTTTGGAAAGAGAAACATCTTTATTGTTCTTGCACTCTAAAGCCAATTGAATCTGTAACCCTGATGCTTCCAGCTTAGACCCTGCTCTTCTAACACCCTACCTGGGAGCATGTCACCATGCCCATGAAGGGCTGTGATCTTGCTACACACAAGGTTGCAAGACTTCCTTCTTCCTTCCATCTCCTTCTTTCACCTTTTCTGCTTCTATGTGTACCATGGTTTTGCAACTTTTGCTTTCACTTATTTTTATATGCATTTTAAGCACCTTAGGATCAACTTGTTTTTATACATTCATGTGCTTTCTCATCCTCAGATCCTGGTCAGGGCAGTCATATTTATAGAGACGGTCCTCCTACTGTCATGTTTGCTCATAACTACGATGTGCTAAGTATAAAAGATTTTCAATGTCATCTTTGGAATCCTTTACATACAATGGAAGATGTTCCAACAGTCTTCTACAGATGTCATATCAAATACTTTCCTTTAACTGTCCATGGTCTGTCAACCCTGGATGGAAACTGAAATTTTCATCATTGTAGATGCCTTGTCTATGCCAGGAGATGATTTCAATGCAGCAATACTTTGGTAAATAAGTACATATATCTCATTAAAACAAAAAAGACACTTCCTATAATTGTTTTTTCTGTTTTTCTAGTTCATAATCAGTGGGGTGTCAAACACTTGTAGGTTAAAACACTTGGCCACTCAGGAAAAGCACTGCAGGGGACACAGCATCAAGCGCTGATATAATGAATTCCACCCACCAGTCCTTCTCTCTACTGACCTGGCAGGGTGAGGATGCCCTAAAATGGTCTCTACATTAGGACTCCCTTCACCTTCCCAATGAAATGGCAAGTTCAGTAGATGTAATTGAAGTCACAGGAGCAAGAGAGTCAGGCTGATTATGATAGACGGGTGGCCATGAGATTCATGATGTCCCTGTTCCCACTCGTTTATCAACTGGAAATTATTGTGTCTTTTAGGGTTGGTATTTCCTATGTACATGATCTGACTATACTGTATCCCCAGGAGATGAGACATTTGTCCTTGACAACGATAAGGAAAAAGGGATACACTTCTTTTGAATGAATGCCAAGCAAATTAAATGATACAATAATTGGGGCTGAATCGTTTCTCAGTAAACAACTGCCCCAAACAGGTAGAATGTGATGTGGAAATGGCCACTCAAAACCCCCACAAAAGTATTAAGTACAACTTCTCATTTGTACATCTCATGCCTCTTTACACCTCAGATAAATATAAAGAAATTCACTTGAGAGATGACTGGTACATCCTCACCACACATGACCCAGTGGTGAGAGCGAAGAGTTACAGTTGTGTGAAAGCTGCACCATTTTCTTTTCATCTCCCCCTGGTACCTCCTTTACAACTATACACTTATTCCATTCAGCATTTCTGCCCTGAAGGAGCAAACACAGCATATATTCTTACACACAGGTGGAAATAAGAATATTCCCAAGTGGAATGGCACCGTTCTGCCCCAGCAAGCTGCTCTGAAGCAATGATGTTGCTAAAATACAAATCAGAGGAATTATCCACTGCTAAAACAGCTGGGCATAATTTGAAAAGCAATCTGGGTTCCTTCCACTCACATCATCAAAGTTAAATGTTATCTCTGCTGCTGGATGTGGTCTGGTTGGTGGTGAGAGATCAAAAAACTCCAACGGGCCTGATAAATAACAATGTTGACACAAGCAAACAACGATGCAGATAAATCACAAAATTGAGACAAACAAGCAATGATGCAAAGGGCATCGCTGGCTACAGAGAAGGGTTTGCAGTTAATGCTGCCTTTGCCAGTGTTCTCCTTCCAGCCAGGCCAACAACCAGGAGTCAGACGCAAGTGGAGGCAAACAGAGAACAACACCACGGAATGGAAACAAACCGTCACTGGTGCTCACAGGCTGCCTTCTGATGTCAATCACAAACACGATCCAAACCTCTCTGTGTGAGAACAGGCACAGAGCCCTGTCACAGAGCTGTGCATGCTGAGCTGCAGGTACCTGTGACTGCAGGATCCAGGCTCTGGTTACTCCTACAGTTGATTGCACACATAAAGGTTTTGGATGTTCGTACTCCTGTATTGACTTTCTCTTCCCTTCCTATTTTAAGCATCACTTTCTCAAAGCTTAGGCAAAGAACAACACTCTGCTTACACAAATCCTGGCTCCAGCAAAATGGGAAGCAACAGCAGAATTTGCAGCCAAGTGTTTTAATTTGATCCACAAACATATATATAAAAAGCCAAAAGCAGAGCAGCTCTCCTAATAAAGCCCTGGGAGGTGGTCCATATTTCACCTTCCTCCCAGGCTGCTGCAGAGTTCTTTGCAATTAAACCCAGACAATAAGAGAAGAAACCAAAAAGTTGCCATCAGAAGATATATTCACCATATCACTTCCTGCAGAACAAAAGTGGGAGTATATACAAAGACCAACCTGGAAAAGATCCCAAGGGGCATCTAAGCTGCTGCTCTTGTTCTCTCCATCCCTCCTTCCTCGTCTCTCCCTCTAAGCCTTTCCTTTGAGCCCCTCCCCCTCTGATGGGATTGTGAGGCTGGACCTGTGAGAAGCTCTGAGAGTCAATCAAGTGATTTTCTTTGAAAGGAAACACACCTGAGGCAGTAAAAAAGAAAAAAAAATGAGCTCCACCCTGGCAATGTCATATCCCTCTGCTCACAGCTGTCCTAGATGTGAAAAAATATTAAAAGGTTTCCCCAGTGTAGTAGTGACTACAAAACCAGCCAGGGCACAGGGGGCTGCTGAGCTGCAGGATGGAGGTTCAGGAGGGGCATCTGAATCTTTAATAAGGCTTTGAGAAAAATCCCAAAAGATATGTAGAAGTGGGGAGAAAGTCTAACTAAACTCTGTGTTGCCCATACCACTGCAACTATGGCATCATCTTAAAGCAAGGAGTCTTTCCAGACCAAAACCTCTGCACAGGCTGAGCATAACTTGCTTCATTCATCATGTGTCCTCACAGTAATTGGCTAAAAAGTCATGTGAGGAAAATGAGGAGCTCAGCATGGCTCAGGGAGCCTTGGCAAGTGAAGGCTGGTGGACATCAAAGTCTCATGTCCAGCCTAGACACCAAAAAAAGAGACAGAGGCAACAACATGGAACCCACATTGGGATTTGGATTCAACTCCGATGTCAAGTGTTTAGGCAGACCCGTGAACTCCAGGAGGCCATCTGATACTTCCAGCTGAATGCAGCCCCACTCCACCACAACCAGGTGGGACAGAGCCTCCTTGGAGATGCTCCTTCCTGGTCCCTCAACTCAGCTTCTAAAGCACATTCCCCAGAAACTCGGAATGCCTGGTGGCCTCAATGGGAATGTGAAGTCTTTCTTCAATCAAAAAGAAGGATAAGAAAAGAAACATAAAAAAACCACACGTCCAGGGCCTCAAGGACTTGGCTGTTTAAAGATACAAAAGTCTGAACATTGCCCTATTCACTACAAATTGTTCTGCTTCTCCCCCCGCCTTTTTTTTTTAATAGCAAGTTCAGTGAAACTTTATCTCTTCCTGCCCTAGTAACCCTACTAAATAATCTGCTGTTAGCATGACTCAATTGAGTGGCTCTCAGCTGCTGAAGTCGGGTTTTTTTGCTACTGTTCTTTCATCGGTGGAAATTAAAAAAAAACATAGCCCGCAGAAAGCTTTCCCCCCCACCCCGAAAAGTATCACAATACTGGAGACTGAAGTACAGCCGAGAAGTCAGTTACTTGCCTTGGAGTTGCTATTAAAAAGGGTCCGATTACACCCAAGAGTGTAACTTCATTAGCATTCAATGTGCGTGCAGGGAACACAGCCCAGGTCTCAAGCAGCCGGGCTGGGTCTCCGAGTCCCCTCCTTCAGAAGGAAATGCAGCTCAAACACTACGGGGCAGAGGAGGGACAGAGGCAGCTCCTTTCTCTTTACCGCTCAAATCTGCTTTCCAACTTGTCACAGCTCTTGTTTGTAGAACGTTACAAACTCGATCCAAAAATGATATATCCAGCTGCTGAGATACAACATCGCCTCTAAAGCTAGACTTCTATCTGCTGTCTTATCACATACTGTTGTAACCAAGAAACACCTACAAAGCATCACTGAACCCAGCAGGGGAAAGTATTTTCCCTCTCTATTTTCCCCAGTTTGTTCACTGTGTTGAATAACACTTTGTTTACGGTCGGTTTTAATTGTGTTTCTCACTTTCCCCTCTGTCGCATGAAGGTACACGGGAGAAATCAACACCGTTTTTTTAAAGGCAGGAAAATGTGATGGCGAAACCACAAACACTCGCTAAATGCATCAGGTGTAGAAGCTGAAAGTAATTTAGACTCTTATTTAGGAAAAGGAAAAGTAAAATAATGAAAAAGAACTCTTCGGATAAATGTCAAGTTGTCAGGTTTAAAATCCCGTAATAGAAAAAGAACTGATGGCTGGAGCGGAGCGTCCGGGTACAATGTAAAGCCGACAGCAGTAAGCATTGCCCCAAACTTTCTCGGTGCTGCTGCATCCCACTCCGAAGGTCCCACCCGCTCCGCACTCGCCCCCGGCACATTTTCCCGCAGCGCGACGACCTGCCCGGTCCTGCCCGCGCATCCCCCGCGCATCCCGCTCCGCTCCGCCGGCGGTACCTGCTGCCCACGCAGCGCAGGGCGGCTCGGATCAGCTCGGATCAGCCCGTTTCGGCTCAGCTCGGCTCGGCTCAGTCCGGTTCGGCTCAGTTCAACTCGGCTCTGCGCAGCCTCGTTCAGTTGCGCTCGGCTTGGCTTGAGCCTAGTCCCGTCCGGCTCTGCCGAGCTCGGCTCGGTTCAGCTCAACTCTGCTGAGCTCCGCCCGGCACAGCCGACTCGGCTCAGCTCGGCTTTACTCGGCTCAGCTCCTCTCGGCTCAGCCCGGCTCGGCGCTGCCCGCCGCCCCCGCAGGGAACCAGCGCACCCCGGGCCGCCCGTCGCCACTGCCGGGGCTGCCCTCGCCGCCTCTTCCTCCCCTTCCTCCTCCTCCTCCTCGGCACCACCCAGCTCCGCGCCCGGCCGCGGCCCCCTCCCCGCCCCCGAGTCCCCAGGTCTCCTCTCCTGTTCGCTCCCAAAACATCCCGATCCGGGGGGTTGGAGTTGAGCACCGTGTCCAGTCCTGGACAGGACCCTGCCTTAGGAGGGGACGCAGGGGGTGCTCCCGTAGCGCCGGGAAACCGTGGCTGCAATGAAATGTTCATCCAAAATAATGAAATAAGTAGGACCACCTGAATTTTTTTGCAGGCTGCAGAGCCTTGTTGTCGTGGCTAGCCGGGGAGGTTTGCTGATGGGTGCAAAGGGAATGTCAACAGGGAAGTTTTTCCTGTCTCATCCTGTTATGTTGTTGGCCTTGGGTGGTTGAAACAACTCTGTTCCAGGCAAGTCCAGCCTCGGACCAGGTTGTTGTATGAAAGAAGGACAGGTGGAAGTGGTGCCTGTTTGGTGCACCCCTCTCAGGGCTTAAGAGTGTCAGAGATGGGGTTTGCCCAGGACATTCCCTGGGAGACCTTCTCAGCTCCTGTGGCTTCGTCCTGTGCAGTAGGATTACAGCACAGCAGTGTGATGCTGGGGGTTGTGGACAGGTGGATCTGGAGCAGGAAACTGGCCTGGGAACCTGGGAGAGGAGACAGAAGAAAGAAAGAGAACCCCAGAAATGTGGGTGCCAAGGGGTTTTGGAGAAGACACTGATAAATCCCCCCATCCTTCTGGACCACACCAGCTCTGTATGGACTTCATTGCTGCCAACAGGCAAATAAATATGGTCACACCTATAGCAAGGAGACCTAAGATGTCCTTCAACCCCCTGACATGCAGAAGGCACAAGGTAATGTTCAGGGACTTTCTGTGGCCCCAAGGGCTCTGGTGAAGAACCTCAAATAGTGTTTCCCTAAATGCGCAATTATAGGTGCAGAACATGACACCAGCCAGACCTTTTTACACCAGTAAAAGATGTTTTCTTTGACTCAAATGAGGTGTTCAGAAATTTTAGGACCTGTAAGAGTTAACTTTGAACAGGCTGGGATGGTTCTTTGAATACCATTGTGACCATTTTGCCCTAGATGCTGATCTCTAGAATGTAAAGTATGCATTAAAATAAGGAAAAGGGAGGCAAGGCAAGGCAAAGGGAAAGGCTGCTGGGATTTTGCAAATCAGGGGAAATGCTGCTTTCAAAGACTGGTTCTTTCCTATTTTCTGGAACAATTAGAGCTGACTATAATACCTACTCCTGTTACCAGCAGGAGAGAAAAAGACATTTCATGAGGCAGATGATTTTGCATTTAATTGCTCACACACTGTTAACTTACACATCCACCCTTCCTGTCTGTGTCAGAGCCCATTATACTGGGTTGATACTGCAAGCATACAGAAGAGATTCTTCCCCCCCAAGTGAAGGTGAGCTGTAGATAATTAAAACCCTATGTATTCCCATCCCAGGCTTCAGTTTTCAACTCCACTGGTTGCTGATGCTGTTGCTAAAATTTGCACAGCAATGTGATGCTTGGAGATCATCGTATCCACCTGCAGTTAGGCTGAGTGCAAGCTTTGGGCACTGTAGAGGCATATCCCCAGCTGGGTTGCAGTCCCATGGTCTCTCCCCCATTCCCTGCCCCTTTGGATATTGCTTTCCCCACCATAGATCAGATTCCATCCCTGGAGGTGTTCAAGGCCAGGTTGGATGAGACCCTGAGTAACCTGTTCTAGTGGAAGGTGCCCCTGCCCAAGGCAGCAGGGTGGATGGAACTAGGTGGTCTTTAGGTCCCTTCCAACCCAAACCATCCTAGGATTCTACAGTCTCGGGGACAGAGCCTGTTACATGAGGATCACTTTACCTACAGGAAATTTTGCAGATGTGTAAATATTTAGGCTCAGGATCAGTTTCCATGTATCACTCACCAAACAGTGCGTCAGGCCACTCAGCTTCAGTGTGGCAGAAGAAGGTTTCAGTCTGTTTCCTCCTCCCAAAAAACATTTAACCATGCAACAACAAGGTCTCAGATCAGGAAAAATCCTTAACGAGACAAGGCAAGGATTCCAACCTGTGCTGCAAGGGAAAATTAACACAAGCCTTTCTAAAGGAGCATTAACTCATCACTCTGGTAACAGCTCCTTGCTTGCCACATCCTGTCCCAAAATTTTCCTTCACTGCCCTTCATGTGTAACCTAAACCCTCCTTGCTGGAATTTAAGCTTACTTCTTGTTGTGGGATCACAGAATCTCAGAATGGCTTGGATAGGAAAGGGTCTTTAAAGGCCATCTAGTCCAAACCCCCTGCAATGAGCAGGGACATCTTCTACCATATCCTACCCACCAGGGATATGGAGAACAGTTTTTCCACTTCTTTCCACTTCTTTTTTCCACAGTTGCTTTTTTTTTTCATATATGAAAGCAACAGCACTGTGGTCTGGGAGGCAGCTGCCATATTAATTAGCCAGACACAAGATAATTACCCAGCTGACACAGAGCTTCCACTGAAACACACACCAACTGTTCTGTATTGTTATTGTCATTTAACTTGACTTGTACAACTAATCAGGCATCGCCTTCTACAACAGATGAGGCCACTCCAGTGGGTGTAGGTATCTGGAAACCAAAAGCCCTTAAAGCTGCATCTTTCTGGTGGAAAATATCACCACAAGCCCGTTGTGTTTTCTTTCCTGTATTTGAAAACCACCCACATTTTCAGTAAAAAAAAAAAAAAGGCAAACTGATTGAGTGTTTTGCCTGGGCAATGGGCCTTTCTGAAGAGTTTAATTCTCAAAATATTTGATCTCTGTTGTTTATTTTTTTAAGGATAGTTGTTTGCAATTTATTGTCAAAGGAAGCGTGTGGGGAAACTAAAAGGGAACATATTTAATAACTGCTGCAAAAGAAAATGTAATATTCCTCTTTGCTTTGAATTCACTGAAACTCAGTTAATGAGACAATGCATTTGAAAAATAAAGAAGAAAATATAGCAGGGGACGTTATTTTCAGTTTTTCGGTATTTTTGTTTCCCCCCCCCCCCAAATGTTTCCATTTCTGCCCAAAGTGTGCACTGCACGTTACCACAAGGTTTACATTTCAAACTCTTATACTAGTCATGAAAAAAGGGCTTAGAAAGGAGCAGAGAGGCCACTTTGTCCCATCTACCACACAATGAGTCCTCCCCCCACCCTGAACCACCCATTCCCATGAGATGTCTGTCCAGCTGGTTGTTACACATTTCCAGCCCGGGAGTTCCCTGGGCTCCCCCAGAAGAGGACAGGAAATGCAGTGAGCAAATCAAACCGCTTGCAAAACGCTGTGTGACGGTGCACATCCCCCAGGCTTCACCAGGAAACCTTGAGTAATTGTGGGAGAACCTTTCTGCAGGGTCCCGCCTGATTTTACTTCCTTGGAACAAGTTGGCTGGAGATACGTGTTGCCCCTTTCAAGCCATAAAGAGAAATAAATCAACTGTGATGTTGGTCCTGTTGCTGGTGGTGTTGCAGTAATTTAAAAAGTTGTTAGTCTTATACCAAGAATCAACCAAACAGACAGTGCTAAATGTGTTCCCAGTCCACAGAGTTTGCCCAGCAGGGATTTTATAAAGTTTCAAAGCTTTGCCTCAGTCCGTGTTCAGTCATTTTGGACTCAATGCTAAGGTTTGTCAGCAGCATTCAAAATAATCAATTTAAGCAGATGTATAAAACACATTTTAGGGCACAGGTTGAGGGAGGCAAAGCCACTGCCTGCCCTCACCTGCTGGTTCCCACACTCTACCTGTCTCCTGCTTGCCTCCTGCCTCCCCATTCCAGGTTATGCTCTCTCACTTTGCTGACTCAAATGATCACCTCATCGTGCTCTCAGCCAGAGCAACAAAACAGGCTGGATTTAAGAAAAACCAGCAAAGCAAAACTGAAAAAGGAAAAAAAAAAACCAACCAACAAAACCCAAACGAAAAAAGGGGTTACCCTTTGCCTGTAACAGGCATCATTTTCACAGTAAATGGACCCGTGAAGGGCTGAGTAATAACGGTGGTGGGGAAGAGGTCAGGTAGATGGTGGGGGAGTGGGAGTGGGTGAAAACTTACCCATAGCCAAAAGGTTCTTGGTGTGTGACCACACACTCTAGTTGACCCTGCATGAAAGGTGTGTGCTGCTTTGAATCTGACAGGAAAATACAAAGTCACTTGTGATTAAAAGCTCCTCTCCTGTCCTGGACAACAGTCCCCCATTGCTTGTGTGAAAGCAATACCTCTTCACTGGCTTCTGCACTGAGACACCATCTCTAGTAATTCTCCCTGGAATGGGGATCATGGAAAGCCAGCTCCAAGCTTGTAGTGTTCCTCTTCCGGGACCACCCTTGGAGACAAAGTGCCTGGTTTGGAGGTTGCAGGACCACTGGCACACACACTCTGCCATTCCAAGCTCCTCTGATAACATTAAAGGTTGCACAGGGAAATATGAAGCAAAGTCAACAGTCAAAAGTCAGCTTAAAAATCACAGAACAGTTGATGTTGGAAGGGGCCTCTGGAAGTCTTGTCCAACCTCTTTGCTCAAGCAGGCCCACACAGACCTGGTTGCCCAGGACCATATCCTGTACCTTTTGAATGCCTTCAAGGATGGAGAGTTCACGACCTCTTTGAGCAACCAAATGACATTGGGCTCTTTTTTTTATGTATTTATATATCCCCTGTATTTACTGTTTTGCCAGTTAAAAGACATTTTATTTTAAACTCATTTGGGATTAGCAGAAGTCAGGAGGTCACAGACGTCAAGAGATCAGCAAGATTTCAAGTATGCTAACATTTCTCATTTCTCTTTTAACCCTCATTGGTATTCAGCATGGAAATTTGTACCCCTTTAGAGGGTACTCTAAAGGCAAGATGACTGGGAGGCTGATTTTTTTTTTTTTTTCAGTTTTGGACCTGGATGTCTGAGTTTTGAG